TTTCTTTGCCTGCCTCTAGGACATTTGTCACCCCAAAATGTGTGATCTCTTATCAGGTCGGAGGTTCCTGCTTTTTTTCTGTCTGCCCAAGGACCCCCATTGTTCACAAGATGTATGGTTTCCTGCCATTTGGCCCGGGCCCCTTCTTTTTCTGCTCCTATCTAGCTATCTGCCTACTCTAACACTGCAAGGAGGCAAGAACTTAATCTTTGGCAGGAGTGGGGCACACAAGCTCCCCCTGGGCCTCCTCCACAAGATTGTCTCTGATCCCATGCCATTTGGCTGCTGAGTGGCTTTAAGGGGTTGGGGGGCTTCTAGGCAGAGGAATGTCCAACTGGAGGCCAGGGCTTCTGGCCTTGGCCCTGACCACCATCTGACCCAGCTAACTGCAAACACTAGAAATGGCTGACCCAAGAGAATCTGGGTTGTGGTCAGGCTGTGACTAAAAGAAGCCACTGGAAAAAGCACACAGCTGCCTTCCAGAGGTCACAGCCGGCAGCTGGTAATCAGGCTGATTTCCAGCAGCAAGCTCCAGCTCCCTTGGTCACATAGAGGAAAGGTCAGTATGGCCTAAGTTTCCTCAAACCTCCCTCCAGGGTCCAACCTCTTTTAGGGGCCTCTTCCCAGACAGCCCCCCCCAGGCCCTTTGGGTTCAGCATGTCCCAAATGGACCTGATTGTCTTTCCTCAAAATGTGCTTCTCACTCTGTGGCCCTGTTTTCACATTATCCATCTCTCCTGCCCTGTGCCACAGGACCAGCCATACACCCATTGAGAGCCTGCTGGATGCCAAAGCGCTTTACTCAAAACTCCTCATTGGCCCTCCTAATGAGGCTGCTCCTGTTATTGCCCCATTTTACAGATAAGGAAACTGAGGTTTAGAGGGTTTACATCGCACCCTGGAGTGGCAGGGGCAGATTCTGGAAGTAGGAGGCTGTTTCTGGCTGGAGCCAGACTAGTACCTGGGCGACCTTGTTCGTTGGCTGGGGCGGCCTCTGGTGGCCAAGTGGGGCAACTGCAGTCTTGGTCACAGGGCGTGGGGGTGTCCATCCAGATGACCCCCTTCCTTCCGCCAGGCTATGATCCTGCCTCTGACACCCTCTATGGCTCTCTGTAGTCCCCTTTGCGGGGTCAGGGATGCTAAGTGAACCCCTGCTAGGTCTAGGTCACCACGGAGACCCGTGAACTCAAAACCCAGCCTCTTTGGTCAGATCCAGACCTGGCCCCCTGTCCACCACTCACCTCTCAACCTCACTTTTTTCATCTGGGGACTGGAACAAAAATGTCCTTCGCCTCTTCAGGTCATGGGACAGATGGAGACAAAGCTGACATACACTAGGCGCTCAGTAACTGCAGTTGTCACTCTCAGAAACATGTAGGAGAGGGTGTATAGCTCAGTGGTAGAGAGCATGTGTTCAATCCCCAGTACCTCCATTAAAATAAATAAATAAATAAACCTAATTACCCCCTCCTCCTGCAAAGAAAGAAACATTTAAGAGAAGGGCAGGGACTTGAGATGGGGTGTCGCAGGCAGTCCTAGCTGCCCCTCCAAAGGATCTCATTGGCCAGCATCCAGCCCAGAAATCCCCAAGGCTATAATTTGGCAGAAACAACTCACCTTTTTTCTTGGGAAAATGAAAAAGGAAACCGAAACCTAAAGCCTGGGCTGTCCTCTGCCTGCAGATTTCACATTCAACACCTCCAAGTCAGAGGACCCTCCCAGAACTCGTCATTGGTCAGCACAGCTCCTATGCTTATAAGGGGGCAGCCCCAGTCCACAGAAGGTTCCAGCACCCTTCTCTAACTCCCATCCAAACTCCCTACTGGCAGATCTAGTTGGCACCCACTTTTTATCACTACAGCCCTATGCCCAGGCTCGACTACTGTTGGAAGTGGATGCAGGAGGACTGCAAGATGCCGAGATAGCTGAGGATTCTGCTGTTCCTGGTGGTGGTGGTGGTGGTGGTGCTTCTGCTTGTGCCCTTGATCATCTTCGCTATCAGGGCCAACAGCAAGAGCTGCATGGATGGCCTCCAAGCAGAGCAGGAGTGTCAGAACTCCACCAACCTCCTGTAGCAGCAGCTAACCCAGACCCAGGAAGTCTTACAGGAGACCAAAGCCCAGGCCACCATCTGCAACCAAACTGTGGTAAGCCACTGCACCCTCTAGAGCGCCCTGTGCTTGGGGCGCTCTCACAGGGCCTACATGGAGATCCATCAAGATAGACTTTGAAACTGCCCCTGGATATCCACACCATGGTTTGGGAACCTCTAAATTCTTCAGGGTGCTGCTGTCAGGGGGCCTTAAAAGTCTCCAGAGCACCCTAATCGGGGGTTTCAGCAACCCTGCTAGGATGTGGGGGGACTCTCCAATTTCCAGGGCACTGATTTGGGGGAGCTAGAAACTGCTCTCAGGCCCCAGTGTTGGGGGAGAAGTCCCCTCAAGGGATTGGGATGGGGACTTCACCAGGTCCCAGAGAAAGAAAGGGCTCTTGATACTTCCACTGCGTCTAGACAGACTTTGAAACCTTCACTTGCGTCCTGATGCAGGGGACCTTGACACTCCCATTGGACATGTAACTTTGGCTCCAAAATCCCCCTGGGTTCTGGTTTGGGGAGAACCTCTCAAGCTCCCTGGGCAATAGCCCAGGGGATCTGGAAATTTCTCCTAGAGTTTAGGCATTGGGAGCCTCCAAAGTCTCTTGTGGGGGGCCTCAAAACTCCCATTTTGAGGATCACAGTCTTATGAGTGGCCCTGGGAAGATGGGAAGTTGTGGCCATTCTTCAAGGTAGGAGACTGAGGTGCAGGGAGGGTTGGAGAGGAAACTGAAGAAGGGGTTGGACCTGAGCTCCTCTGACCCCAGGACCTAGGGAGGGATCCAGGACCCAAGGACAGAAGCCCGGTTCCTGACCCTCCCCTCTATCCCAGGAGACCCTGAGGGATTCTCTGGAGAAGGAGAAGGCTCTGGGTCGGGAGCAGCTGGCACATGTGGAGGAGCTTCAGGGTGAGCAAAGCACAAGTCCAGGGTCCCACGGAGGGGGCTCAGAGGGGTGGGCCAGGTATTGAAAAGGACTGGGGAGGGAAGGTCCCAGGGTTGGGGTCAGGAGAGAGGGCCCGGGCCAGAATCCAGTTGGAGGGGTGGGTAAGGGAGTGGGCCAGCTTTCCAAGCTGGGGCTGGAGGAGGGCAGGGTTGGAGGGGGTGGGGTCAGGCAAGGGGGGTGGCCACCGTGTCGACAGGGCCCCTGATTCTGTCTCCCCGCCACTCTCCACCAGATGAGGTCCTGACATTGAAACAGAAGCTCAACACTTTGGAGGAGGCAGAGCGACAAAGGTCCGAGATGACGCCCCTCAGGCCACGCCCCTTTCACCCCACCCCCAAGACTCTGGACCCCTTTGGTTCGGAGAAACTCATCGTTGCTCAGGGAGCAAAGTTTAAAAGCCTCAGCCTTGTCCCTTGTGTCACACAGCCATGGGTTGGCCACTGCCCACTCTCCTCCCCAGTGACTTGGTGGTGGGTGGAGGAGTGGAGATTCTTAGGGGAGAAGCCTAGAGCTGCTGGAGCCATCCAGCAGCTGCCAGAGTTGTCCCTATCTCTACTCCAGAGAAAGAAGTGAGGCCTCAGTAGCTAACAGCTCTTCCAGCTGCTGGAGCATCCTGGGCTTCCTGATCACTCTGAACATGTTGAGCCTATGCCTCAAGTCTTGGCAGGGCTGAGGTCCCAGGAAGCCGGCTGGTAAGGAGAGGAGTAGCCAGGGGGAGACGCTGGGAAGGGTCGGAGTCAGGGATGGGTCAGGGCCTGGGCAGGTGACCTGTCTGCTGAGGTAGAGGGCTGGGCACAGAGGAGAAGGATCTTGGAGCGGGACAGAGAGCTCCCTGAGGAGGGAGGGGGCCCTGGAGCCGGGCGGGGCTTCGGAGAGGGCGGAGCCCATGTTCTGTCCACCTCTGAGTCCCTGTTTTGATGTTTTTTAGGCCACAACCTGGACTGGTCCGGTTCCCACTCAGCTTTGTCCTTCGAGGCTTCCTGACCTAGCCAGTCCTGAGGGGACCACATGGCAACATGGTTGGGGGGGTGGGGAATGGGGTGGCAGCAGGGGGTCCATGGGGCAGCTCCCGAGGGATGCCTTGGGAATGGAGACGTAGTGGAGTGGGCCCAAGGCTGCCCCAGAGCTGGGGAGGGCATGCAGAGTGCTTCTTGCTGTTACGGTTTCTAGAAGGTCACTTCCTTCTGGGCTCTTTGGGCCCCATTGAGGGGGGGAAAAACCTTACTCTGAAGTTTTTGGAGTATTATTGCGCCACCCCAAGCATCTGGGACCTGCCCTGTGGGCAAGGGTGGACACCCATTGACATCTACCCCCAGCCTTCCCTGTTCTAGAATGTCCCCAGGAATCCCTGGGGTTCCAGCAGGCACCACTCCACTGCCTCCCCAGCCCTTTCCTCTGCTGGGATCATCCTAAAGGACTCTACACCCAGGTCAGTGCTCCCTGTCTGAAGGGGAAATAACAAAATGGCCACACTTAGGCTAATTCCTGGCCCTATACTTGCCGTTTGCTTTTAAAATGGTCAGCAAATCTGATTAACCGGACACTGGCCCCAGCCCCAGGCCCATCATTAGAGTTAGAGTTACTAACTTCCTTGTTTATTTTACCTTACTCTGGCAATTGAAGTTTACAATCATGTTTGGAATTTGAGTCATTCCCCCAGGAAGGGAGTCATGGGACAATAATCCTAGGAAAATGACCAGACCCCTAGAAGTTCCTTCTGGTGCCTGATGAATCTGATCAGATAAAGAAGGTCATGGGCGGACACACCAAGATTCAGACTACGGAATCCTCTGCTTCCAGGAGGAAGATTTAACAGAGACTTTTGTTAATTCATGTCCCCTTTTACACCCTAATTTGTTCACTGTATAATCACTAAGCCCCAGCCCTAAAACGGGCTCACAGTTTTCAAGGCACTAGCCTACTGTGAGGCCTCTTTGCCTGGCAAAGCAATAAAGCTACCTCTTCTAAACTCTAAGACCTGGTCTCTGAGTTATTTGCCTTGTCAGGGACAGAGCTGATCTTTCAGCAACATGCCTGCAGAGTGGTCTACTCCCATCTCCTCACCAGATCTTCTCCTAATAACAGTGGTTCCAGGGGCAAACTGAGGCTTTGAAAGAGACACTTTGTCCTGGTTCCCAATCCCTTCCCACAGAAAGTTCAGGGCTCGGATTCAAATCTGGATCTGCAGACACATACAGACCAGGCCTGTGTCACAATGCCCCCCTCTTCTACATCCCCCAAACCCTTATTCATCCTGCAGTACCAAGCTCTGGGAGCTCCTCCTCCAGAGAGCCTCTCTGCTTCTCAAAATTGAGGGCTACGGTCTGACAGACCCTTTAACCCACTTTCTTGCATCCTCCCATGCCCCACAGTTCCCTCCTCTTCCTTCCTCTAAGTTCTCCTGGAATCCCAACTATTGTCCAGGCAGCTTCCTGTATGTGGCACTGGGGGTGGATGCTTGCATCTACCCAGAATTCCCAGAATTCTGCACTGCCCTCAGGTCCCATGGTCCCCACTCAGATGGTTGGTAGATTCCCCCTCTATGGCTTCTGCTGTCCTCCTAAGGACCCCCAAACACCATCCCTGCCACAGGCCCTCTGACCCCCTTGTCCCCTAACTTCCCCTTGCTCCAACCCCCCTCCTCCTGCCCCAATCATTTCTCTGGAACTTTGTCAAGTTCCCTCCTGCCTCACAGCCTTGACTAGTGAGCAGCTCCTCCTGCTAGGGACACCCATTCTTCACTCTGAAGTTTGAGGGCAAGGTTTCTCAGCCTCAGAATCCTTGACATTTGGGGTCGGATTGTTCTCTGCGTTGGGGACCGTCCTGTGCACTGTAGGATGTTAGCAGCATCCCTGGCCCCCACCCTCTAGATGCCCGTAACACCTTACCCCCAGGATGTGGCAACAACAACAAAAACTGCCTCCAGACATTACCAAGTTCTCTTTTTCCCCGGGGAGGTGGGAGCAGAATCAATTCCAGTGAAAACGTCAGCTATAGAGGGCAAGTCTTGGGTCCCCCTCACTTCTGTCGGAGCCCTCACAGAATCCCTTTACAATGACTGAGTCACTTCACATTCCCTTCAATAGCCCCATCTAACAGATGAGGAAACTGAGGTCCAGAGAAGTGATTGGACTTGCTCAGGGTTTCTCAGCTGCTCAGACTATGGAATCCTCTGCTTCCAGCAGGTTCTCTCAATTGCCAGTAAGCAAGCCATTCTCACATGACCTCAGTCCATTCCCACCCACACCCAACATCCTCCACCCCAACTCCCAACTTGGGCTACTGGAATGTCCCCAAACAGCACTGCCCCACCACATCTGAGCTGTGTCTCGCTGATGGAGGGAGACAGGTTTGCCAAAGATCATGGGTTCAACCTGCTCAGTTTCTCCCTCCACCCCACACAAGGGCCGGGGTATAAACTTCTCTCTTTCCAAAAAATGCCCCTCTTCCCTGGCTGGCTGTGACTCAGCCAGGGGTTGAGAAGTCAGGACTAAGGGGTGCTACAGGTCTGGGGGGTAGGGGGTGGTCCAGCTCCAATAGGAATCTGGCAGGGACCAGCAGCTGCTGTGTGTCCCTGGCCTGAGACTTGGCCTCTCTGGGCAGTTTCTTTATGTGACGTGGGAGGCAGGGAGGGACACAGATTCTAGTTCACATTTATTACATAACTGCTGTGCTCCAGGTCCATGCCATGGCAGAGGGAAGGAGGCTTTGCGGGCTTTGCCTTTTAGGGGCTCACCCAGTCTGATGGGGGAGGCAGCCAGGAACCAAACACATAAGATATAAAACTACAGCAGAGCTGAGGAAACTGATCCAAAGCAGCCTGACTTAATGGGGAAGGGGGAGAGTTCTGGAGGAGGAGGTACTCTGGTAGACAGGGGAGAGCTGGTAAGGAAGAGTTAGCTGGGCAAAGAGAGAGGATAGGGCCCTCAGGCAGAGGGAACAACCAATGCAAAAGCCCTGGGGTAGGAATGCACTTGCCTGAAGACTGTTGAAGGCTGGAGGGAGTCGGCAGGAGGAAATGACATCAAATACTTGCTAGGGGCCTTGCAGGGGAAGGAGGAAGAGAAGGGGGAAGGATTAAGAAATGGGGAAGGGTAGAGGGAAAATGGGAAGATGGTGGGGAGACAAGGGGGAAAGTAGGGTGAGCGAAGAGGAGGAAGGGAGATGGCAATGGAGGAGGGCCAGGAGGAGATGAAGGGGGATGAGGGCCCAAGGGGAAGAGGAGGATTTGATTTGCCACAGGGAAGGGAAGTTAGGGGAAGGGGATAAGCTGGCCTAGATTCACGTTGTAAGTTTGCCCCCTGGTGGCCTAGTGGAGAACAGTCAGGGATATGGGGCCTGTCCATCCTTGCATCTACCCTCTGGCCCTCACAGCAGGTCACAAAAAGTGTGGCAGCTGGAGCCAGGCTGACTTCAGTTGCTCAAGTAGCCTCAGTTTCTTCATGAACAGAGTGGGGACAATATACCCCTAGACATTCGCAGAGCATCCTCCTGTGGAAGTGAGTGCTATGTGCAGATGTGCTCATGTGATTCCCAATAAACCCAGTAGGACAGGAGCTGCTGTCGTCTTAACTTCACAGAGAGGGAAACTGAGTCTCAGAGGACAGCACATGGGATGCAGAAGCGAGACTGGAACCCAGGACCCCCAAGTCCCGTCCTGGGCTCAAGTAGCCTGGACTTGCCCCTGGCGCAGGTCCAGCCCCTCCCAACAAACTAGAAGCCACCGCCAGGCGGGGCGGAACCGTGGGTGTCCCTGGCTCCCCAAGGTGCCAATTAAATGCTCGTGGCCGTCTGGGGTTAGAGCTGTGGACGGCGGCATGGCCGAGCAGGGGCCGGAGCCGGGACGCGCATGGCGGGTGTTTGCCCTCTGCGGGGCCGCTGTATTTCTGGCAGCGGTGGCCGCCGGAGCAGCCCTACTGGCCTGGAATCTGGCCGCCTCGGCCTCCCGGAAGCCTCGCTGCCCAGAACCAGGGACCAACACCACGGTGCCGCCTGGGGACCCGGCGCCCGAAGTCGAGGAGCTGCGGCGGCGGCTGGCAGAGGCGGCCCAGCGCGAGGAGGCCCTGACCAGGCAGCTGAACCAGGCCGAGAGTGTCCGTGGGCAGCTGGAGGAGGCCCTAAGGGCCTGTGAGGGCCGCCAGGTACGTGGGTAGGGTGGGGTGCTGGGAAATTCAGGCTTTGGGGGAAGAGGGCTTACATACATCCCCAGGGTCCCTCCCCTGGGCCTTGGTTTCCTCAGTTCTTCAACTGAGGGAGGCAAATGAGAATAGCACCGTAATTCCTTCCAACTCCTACATTGCCAGTTCATCCTTGAGTCTACCTTCTGACCAAGAAGGCTCCACTCTTCTCTGCTATTTGCCAGGTCAATGGTCGGTAGCTAGGGAAGCCCCAGACCCCTGAGCCCACCTGGGGAGGCCCTGAGCTAACCCTCCCCCCAGACACCCACTCAACACTCCTCCCCAACCCTCCATTACCCTAGCCCGGCCCGTGTCCAGCAGCCCTATTTCAAGATAGGGACATTCAAGTCACCTGTAATTAAGAGGCTAAAGTTGGCCTCTTGGGGGAGGTACCAGCCAGGTCCTCCCTTTTCCTCTTGCCACCTCCTTCAGACTCTTTCTTAACCCTTCCCAGCCCTGGGCCTCACAGAAAAACCATCCTCAAAGTCCCAACCATTCACATTTATTGAGTAACTACTGCATACCTCTGTGTACCCCGCCCAGTAGTGGTTGGGCAGTGTGTGAATTTTAGAAACTGAAACTTGCCTCTCCTGCCTGCCTAAGTGAAGTACCTGGGGCAGCCAAGTTAAAGGCAATCTGCCCTGGGTTCAAATTCTGGCTCTGCCCCTCTATTGAAGATTCTCTGAGGAAGTCAGGCCAGTTGCTTTGCAGAATGTCTCACAGAAGTGACTAAGGATACCCTAGAAACCCAACATTGTCAAACACCAAATTGGCTTGTGTTCGTTTAAAATCCATCGGCAAGTCTACAGCTAGGATTGGAACCAGTGTCTGTCGGCAGAGCTAAACCTTTTCTACATCCCGTTGATCTGAGTGGGGATTGGTGGACCTGGGCAGAGATCTCCTTCCAGTCAGGCACCAGTCACCACTTCGTACCCCAGACTTCAGAGACCACTTCCGTGTTTTACAATTACAGGACCTTCAAGGACATTGCAAATAAAGCTTAAGGAACATTAGTGTCGTCTCAGTCTCCCCTAGAAGGGGCGGGGCCAATTCACTCCTTCTCCCATTCCCTCTACCCGCCTCATTTCCTCTCCACTCTGCAGAGTCGGCTTCAGACCCAACTGATGACACTGAAGACTGAGATGGACGAGGCCAAGGCACAGGGGACCCAGATGGGGGCTGAGAACGGGGCGCTGACAGGTGTGTTGGGGTGCAAAGGAATGGGCAGGGTTAGAGGTGAGAGGAGCCTAGAAGGTTCCTACCTACGCAAATGACTTGCACAGGTGCAATCGCACAGGTGCAAACATAAAGCAAATGAACACGGAAACTTGTGAAAGAAATGCACATAATATGCAAAGGTTCTGCAAATGTCACAAAACAATGCAAATGCAACAAAATACGCACACGCCATGTAAGGACTCCCCAAAGCAATGTAAACCTATGAAAAGCTATGCAAATGGCACGTGAAGGTCATGCAAACAGCACACAAACTTAATTCAAATAAAACAAATTACGCAAGTAGTTGGTAGACTATAAACTTGGAGCGGATGTGCGCGGGGCGAGAGCCTGATCTCCAACCTTATCGGGTTCCCTGCACCCGCAGAAGCCCTGGCGCGCTGGGAGGCGGCGGCCACCGAGTCTGCGCAACGGCTGGACGAGGCACAGCGGCGCGCACGCGCGGCCGAGGCCGAGGGTGAAGCCTGCGCAGCCCGGGAGGCGGCGCTGCGCGAACGCGTGTGAGTGAGGCCGGGGTCGGAAGGGGCGGGGGAGTGGGCCGTGTGGGCGGGGCCTTGGGAGG